ATGGAGAAATCCTCTATTTATACCTGGGAATTTCAGATGAAGCCATTAGTTCGGTTCTGGTAAGAGAAGAAGCCAAGTAGCAAAAACCAATATATTATATCAGTAGTGTGCTGCATGGAGCCTAACTGAGGTATCCTATAGCTGAGAAAGCAGCCTTAGCAGTTGTCACTTCGGCCAGAAAGTTGAGGCCATATTTCCAGTCGCACCCGATCATTATTTTTACAGACCAATCCCTTCGGCAGATTCTGCAAAAGCCTGAGTGTTCTGGAAGATTAATTAAGTGGGCAGTGGAACTAGGGGAATTTGAGATAACATTTTAGCAGAGATCTGCAATCCGAGCTCAGGCACTGGTAGATTTTATTGTAGAATGCACTCCAGGTAATTCCACTCCTACTCCGGAGCCCAATGACTGGACCTTATATGTTGATGGGGCATCTAGTAGCAAAGGTTCGGGAGCTGGCGCTTTCTTGATTGGCCCAGATGGATACCGCAGTGAACATGCCCTGAAGTTCAACTTCGATGCAACAAATAACATGGCTGAGTATGAAGCCCTGCTACTTGGTTTGCAGCTAGCATTGGAATTAAAACTCAGTGCGATCCAAGTATACAGTGACTCCCAGCTGGTGGTGAACCAAATTAACTCAATCTACGAAGTTGTTGATCCTGTGATGATGAAATATGTAGCTGTGGTGGCCGAGCTGAAGTGCAAATTTCAGAAATTCTGTCTGAGCAAAATCCCCCGGACTGAGAATGAACAGGCAGATTCACTCTCTAAATTCGCCTCTGATAGTTCTTCACAGTCCAGATCAGTTTTCGTGGAGGTCTTAGATGAACCAAGCTTCATGAAGCCACGGGTGATGGAAATCAGCACAGACCCAGGTACGCCAGGCTGGACTGACTCAATTGTCTCCTTCCTTCGAGACGGGGTAATACCTGAGGATAAGCAGGAGGCAATGAGGTTGAGGAAGAAAGCATCTCGCTATACACTTGTTGGTGGGATCCTCTATAAGAGATCTTTCTCACTCCCTCTCCTACGGTGCTTGAATCCATATGAAGCAGAATATGCACTTAGGGAGGTGCATGAAGGTGTCTGCGGAAGTCACGTGGGGGCTCGAACTTTGGCTCATAAAGTCCTTAGACAGGGATATTACTGGCCGAACATGTACAAAGATGCCACTTACTTTGTTCAAAAATGCTTGAAATGCCAGTTCTTTGCGCACCTAACTCACCAGCCTGCAGAAGAGCTCACTACGCTGGTAGCACCATGGCCATTTGCTCAGTGGGGATTGGATCTTTTGGGTCCATTCATGAAAGGGGTTGGTGGTGTAACCCACCTAATTGTTGGTGTAGATTATTTCACAAAATGGGTTGAAGCTCGGTCATTATCCAGTCTTACTTCCAAGAAGGTCGAAGACTTTGTTTTCAGCTCAATCATCTGCAGATATGGGATCCCGAATCAGATTGTGGTTGATAATGGAACTCAATTTAACTGCACCTCCTTTCGAGATTTTTGTTCCAGCTACGGGATTAAACTGCAGTTCACCTCGGTTTACCATCCCGAGTCCAATGGCATGGTCGAATCTGTTAATAAGTGCATCTTAGAAGGTATAAAGCCGAGGCTGGAACAACACAAGGCTAAATGGGCAGACGAGCTCAACAACGTCCTCTGGGCATACAGAACTACGAGTCGAACTGCCACAGGTATTACTCTACACCTGGCCTATTTGATTAATATTATTTTACTTCTTCTGTTACGGTTTTACCTTAGAGCAAATATGCATAACGTGTAAAGCGCATTCTAAAGTTATAATCCATTGAAATAGGTGAAACACCCTATCATCTGGCCTTTGGTATCGAAGCAGTCATTCCTATCGAGATAGGAGTTCCAAGCTTCAGAGTCACCCATTTCGATGAAGGACGAAATGGACAATTGCTTCGGGAGAACCTTGATTTGCTTGATGACGTTAGAGAAGAAGCACGACTTCGAACTCTAGCCTATAAGCAGAAAATAGCAAACTTCTACAACAAACGAGTTCGACCCCGAACATTCAAAGTAGGAGACCTTATCCTCAGGAAAGCTTGTCTGACGGGGTTCGAAACTCGATTCGGCAAGTTGGCACCAAACTGGGAAGGCCCCTACACTGTTGCCGAAGTGCCGCACCCAATGCATATATCCTACGGGACACTGAAGGCAACCGGGTTCCCAGGGTCTGGAATGTCAATAATTTGAAGAAATTTTACCCCTAATGAATCTCTTTCTAGTAAACTTTGTCTCATTTTTATATTCGTTGTTATTCTATATATGTTCGAACTCAATTCATTTATCTCAATAATGAGTGTCACTTCACATTTAAAGTGATTCAGTTTTTTCTACCCTTCTATGAGTTGGAAGTACATTTCAAATTATTTTTGAAGTTAGCTCCTTATGATTTATTCTTTAGGATACCGATTTGGTTAATCAGTTACCTTTTATTTTTGAAGTGCTTTACTTCATTTGTCTACTTGAGGTCCGCCTCATCCAAAGTCAATTCCCTTGACTGTTCATTTTATGGTGACCGAAGTCAGATCCTTGCATTGGATGAAGTCAACTCGTTTTACCCGAAGTGATTTGTTCAAAAAACAGCAAACAAATATTAAAATGTGCAACTCATAAATAACTTAAAATTTTTTTTATAAATTTGTAGAAGTCACTTACAAAATTGTCATTACTTACAAACACAACTACCAAAAACAAAACAAAAAATCCTAGGCTAATCTGCTAAGGGAGGAGGCTGCTCCTCAGCAAGAGGAGGCTGCTCCTCAGCAGGAGGAGGCGGTGGAGGTGGCTCGTCTCCAGCAGGCAGGGGTGGCACTTCTGCTTCAAGAGGGGCCAGCGCCTGCACTTCGTCAGAGGAGACTGGATGCACCTCAGGAGGTAGCACTTCGGCTAGAGCTGCCTGGTCCTCACCTCCGGTGCCTTGCGCTTCTTCTTCTTCTTCTTCTCCCTCCACGGCCACCAACTTAGCGTCAAAGGCTGGAGGAAAAATGGTGCGCCCCTATGCATCACGCTCCCACCTTAGCGTGATCTGAGGTCGGAAGTCAGCACAGAGGCTCTCCCCATCTTCCTCCACCCCTTCTTCTTGTTCCCCAAAGGTAACTGTTGTCACGTCTACCTTTGGGTACTGAGCCTTCACCTTCTTTCTACAGTCGGTGAAGGCCACGATTGCGATTGGCAGCCAGTAGAGTTTGAGGATGTTCTCGAAGGTGTTGGAGTTAAGGAAGTTGCCAATGTGCTCCTCCATCCCGTTGTGAACCAGCAGGTTCACGTTCTTCTTCAGCTCCGCAGCTCCTTTCCTCATGTTGTCCATGTATTTGTCCTGAGCCTTGAGCTTCTCCTCACAGATCTTCCTCTTACATTCTTCGAGGACAAGCTTCGTGCTCAGGACATCATTCTCATTCTGGAGCTGGGTCACTGAAGGGAGAACTTCATCCAGCCTCCTTTGCATCTCCCTCTTCTGCTTCTCCCATTCCCCCTTCTCCTTCTGCAGCTCATCCTTCTCCTTCTATAGCTCATCCTTCTCCTTCTATAGCTGCTCGCACTGCCTCTACAAGCTGGCACGATCTCTAACGCTCTCGGCATACTCCTGCGCTAGAGCGTTTGTCCAGCTCGCACTCTACAATGCAATCAGAAGTCAAACATCAGATACAGAGGTAAAAAAACTCAAACATACAACCGGAGTAAATCCCAACTATTTCGCATACCTCTAGGGCGTGCCTCACAACGGTATACCCCATATGGCTAACCACCTCGTCCTTCACCTGCATCCTATCCACCTCAGGAAGAGTAGAGTTGAGGAAGTGCTTCGCCCCAGTCGTGTTTGTTGCTTCGAACAAACTCTTCTGGAACGAAGGTTGAGGAAAGGGCCCCTTGCCTTGGCCAAGACCTCGTACCACGGCCTCTTCCCTCTCCCGGACTTCAGGATCAGTTTCTGGAGGAGAAGGCCGAGGCACGAACTCCACCACCTGATCCCCCCTGGCTTCTGGTTGTGACACCTTCCTCTTCTTCCTTTGGAGCGGTGCCACTTCCTCACTTACATCCTCACTCCCCCCCATCACAGGTTCTGGTCTTGGCTGTATCTCCAGTACTCGAGCAGAAGTGCTGGGCAGGCGCTCTTTCTCTGCCACCCCTTTGTCCGCCGCAGTTGAAGTACTTGACTTCTTCCTAGGCTTCTTCGGGATGCGCAGCCCCCCAGCAGCATTTGTGAACTCTTCCATCTCAACTGCAAAACAAGCACAAAGGTTAAAACACACCAACTAAAATCTAACCAACATAGCACAGTATAAACATACACAAACCTTCGCTCAATGAGCTTGGCCCATAGAGCTCAGCAGCCTCTATTGCCTGCGGACTGGTGAGGTACAGGATGTCCACCACGTCTCCTTCCTCCCTCACCAGCTTCTCCACCTCCTCCACCTCATCCTCATTTAATTTATAGTTGTTATGCTTGGTTTTCTTAGCTTTCCAAGCAGACAACTGCTCTACCTCGGCATCCCTCCTGCTCCACTCGGTGTCATCCACAAAGAAGAATTTTTCTTTCCACCCTTTGATGGATGACGGTCCAGCAGTGAATAAATTCCTATTATCCTTGCTGGACGACAGAGGATCGAAGTAGTACCACCCCTTCTCCCCCCTACCCCCAGCCTTAATAATAAAAAAATGTTTAAACATGTTTACGGTCGGGACCCCCACCCCTCGAACTCGGCAGTATACAAGAAAGCCTATTATTACCCTTATGGCATTTGGGGTTAATTGGGTTATTCCTATGCTGTAATCTAATAATAGCCCAACCAGTAATTCTGGAATGGGAAACCTAAGACCTGCTATCAGATAATGGACATATAGGGGCATCCAATGGTCTCGGGGTGCTGAGCATGCCCTCTCATTCACCCCGGCAGGCCTAATTAGGACATGGTGAGGGAGGTTGCAGTTGTCCACTAGGTCCCTAAGACTTCCTCTACTACCTAACTCGCTCACATACCCCCTCACCTCAGATACCATATCTAAATTTGGGTCATAACACCCATCTACCCTATTCCCCGCCTCCAAAATGTTGGAGGGAATCTCATCTTCTTCCTCTTCTACCTCTTCTACCTCTTCTACCACCCTCTGCTCTGATCCCTCCTTTCCTCCACTATCCTCTCCGAACTAGTTGGAGATGGACTGGTCTCCGAATCCATGCCACCATATTCCAAGGGCATCACTTCACTCCCCACTACACTCCTGGCCTCTTCTAAAGACATCTCAATTTCTGCATACAGGGGGAGGAGGAACGATGTCAGGACCCTTAACAATTCCAACACACTCAACACATTCTCACTCCCAACCCTAATTTCCTCCAAAAAACCCAAAATCAACCACAGAAAGGGAGGAAGGAGGATAGCATTTCGGCAAAATCGAACTCAAAAATTCAAAATCGAAGTTAAAAATTTGTACATTTTACCTAATTTTGATCTTAGGAAACTATTGTTGAAGTCTTGATCGAAGTGCAAACCGCACGAAACCGCAGAAATTTAGCAAAAATTTCACAAGGGTGTACTAGCAAAATAACGAGAGTAAAAAGTCCCCTTTTACAGAAGTGTAGCCTTTTATACCAAAGGCAGAATACGCCTCAATGGCTGTGATTAACCCATCTAACGGCTGCAAAAGTACCGTTTCGAATTCAACGGTTAACCTCAAACAGTACCGTTTCGAGCTCGACGGTTCGTTTTTTACATTTGCCCGTTGGACTGTTACATTTATCTTTTTACAGCGGCATTTATTACGCACGTCATTCAGAGGACAGCTATCGCGTCGCGCACCACCTTTTTGTCAGATGGGCCCGCTTAAGCCCATTTCCACACTCTTGCTCACTTTTATCCATTTTAAATTTTACACAAGTATTTTACTTCTGCTCTGGCCACAATGACCCAGTGTCATACGTTTTACTTCGGCTCCGGCCACAATGACCCAGTGTCACATATTTTACTTCGGCTCCAGCCACAGTGACCCAGTGTCACGCGCTTTACTTCGGCTTCAGCCACAGTGACCCAGTGTCGCATATTTTACTTCGGCTCCAGCCACAGTAACTCAGTGTCACACGTTTTACTTCGGCTCCGGCCATAGTGACTCAGTGTCACACGTTTTACTTCGGCTCCGGCCACAGTGACCCAGTGTCACACGTTTTACTTCGACTTCGACCACAGTGACCCTGTGTCACACGTTTCACTTTGGCTACGGCCACAATGACCCAGTGTCACGTTTTGCTGTGGGTTATCTATACATGTAAAGTCATGGATTTTTATTTCCATAACTCATCTTTGTCTCTCTTTCTTCCTATCTATGCACTACCCCTATCACTTCCACCAATATCATTCACAAGTGAAT